TTTTCTCGATTATCATGATAAAAAATTATTGCTACCATAGGCTCATTTAATACTTTTCCGTGGTGCTTCTTCTAACACCTGCCTGATAATGAAATCGAATAGGATATATAATAAAATAGATGAAGGAGTTCTCCCTTGCATAACACCAGTTTCAATAACAAAAGTTTCGGAAAACACACCATTCATTCCTACCTTTCCTCTTGTATTTTTATATATTAACTTAAGTAACCGAACGATTTTTTTTGTTAAACCATAATGTTGACAAATTTTCCATAATAATTCTTTTTTAATTGAATCATAAGCTTTTTGAATATCTATAAAACACATAAACAATGGTTTATTATATTTTCTTAATTTTTCTATAATCATTTTAACTATAAGTATTTGATCGATAGTTGGACTGTTGGATATAAAACCTGCTTGTCGTTCTAATAATTATTTATCAATTAATTTTTGAAGACGATGAAGAATTACTCCAGTAAATAATGTACTTGCTACTACTAATAGAGACATGTCAAGATAATTCACCTACTTTGAATTTGTCAGCACTAATATCGTCATTATCACGACCTTTTCGACTCTTCATTCGTTTTAATGCTTGATCAAGTTCTTCTAGTGTCAATGGTTTATCCTGTCTATCTCGTTTTGTTGTTGGTATTGAGAGTGTCGAGATGTGGTAACTAACATTTGAATCAATGATCGATTTAACATTTAATAACTCATAGAAGCATTCTTTCCGTCTGTCCAATTTATCCCTAGAACTGATAAGTAATTTACCATTTTTATCTTGAACAGCACTATTCTCTGAATTTTGTTGTCCATCTTTCAAGCTTCTAATCATTGCATAAGCAGATGTTGGATCATGGTTAAGGATAGCTGTTTCAATTCCTTTCGTTAATTCATCTCAGTATGCAATTTGACTTTCATTTACCATTGATTTAACTGATCTTCTATAAATTATGTATTCGTCTTTATATTTCTTCTTTTTCGACGTACCTAGGTAATTTTGCCATATTAAATAAACAGATGATTTCTTCTCTACTATCTTCAATATATCATCAGTCATCCATTCTTTTCTATTGTTGTTGATGTTGTTGTTTATTTTAAAATGCATTTGTGCAGCTTCCTTAATACATTATGCAAAAGTGAAGCTTTTTTAATTAATATTAGCATCATTATCATCATCTTTTTTATCTTTAAAAGCTCCTTCAATATCATTTTAAAAGTGATTAACTATGTTTTCATCTTGTAAGTTGAAATGATCTAAATGTGACTGATTTTGTTGGAACTTTCTTCTTCTTAATTTCAAATACAAATTAATTTTAGATCGCATAAGATGATGATCAGTTCCAATACTTCCAGCTGCTCTTCATCAATACTTCATTTTAAATTTCTTGTTCACTAATGCATTGTCTTATGTTGAAAAAAAGTGTTTGAAATAACTATACCATTTGCTAAACAAAAATCGGCAAGTCTAATGCCATTTTCATTTTTAAGATCAGCTGCAAGGGGACCTGACCATCTGGGGTATAGTTAAATGTTCTTGTTTACCAACATGAGCATTAAAATCTCTCATTAAAATAATCATATCACCTTTTGGCACCTTATCAGTCCTCTCTTGTAATTGTAACTAAAATTGATCACATTTATCCATCATAGATGTGTTCTATCGATTAATTGGAGCATAAACAGCAATAGAAGTCACATTTATTGGCGCACAATACATTTGAATCTTAATAATTCTTTCATTAACTGCTTCTCGTTCTGAACCTGATGACTTCCAAATATTCGTTGTTGGCTTGTTTAAACAAATCGCTACACCACGTGCTGATCTTGTCTTATTAACTTTCGGAAGTCCGGAATATATCATTGTAAAATCACCTATTAATTTTATTCCTGGCTCATATATACCTGCTTAACATAATGCAGTCACTTTTATCCTGTACCTCTTTAACTGTTTAATAGTTAGTTGTTGTTTATGGTAATAAAAATAGGAAATTCAACGTCTTATCGACTGGTGGCTACTGGTAGCTCAAAGTCGCCTACCCACTATTTCTAAAGCAGAGATATATCCCGATGGAAGTTTTAAAACCTCCCCAGCAGTCTCGAATTTAAAGAGAAGCTTGCACTAAAGTGAGAAATTAAGATATTACATGGTGACAATGATATAGAATGACACGGCTTATGCAGCTGATTAGTATGTAAACTGAAGTCTTGAGATCGATATGCCATGCGTTCAATTTTCGTTGGTTCTGTTTAGAAAATCTTGAAAAGATCCTGCCAAGAAACTCGTAATATCTTCGAGGAAACCTGGTCAAATCCTGAAAGGGATGACTAGAACTTTTTTCTAATTTGAAATCATTCAATTACAGACAGCATTCTACAATTCTGTACCTACGCATGTTTTTCAGGATTTAGCCGTTTCCTCAGGAGAAAACAGCGAATGCTTGTAGGTAGTGATCATATCCGTCACGGCTCTGATGCTAGAACATCATAAAAGTTCCATAGGGCTATGCATGTTTTTATAATAATTGTTATCAACGTTAATATTCTTGATAATAATGATTATCCTCATGTAGGCTCTGTCAAGTTTTATTATTTGTTTTAAACTTGTTTGTATTGAATTCGTTGGTTGAAAACTCATTAGTTGACTACACTCTAAAAAAAATCGGTTTTTTACCGAACCCCTGAAAAAGGTCCCAGAGATTTCTAAAAGCGTCCAAAGGTGTCCAAAGTCTCGAAAAGAGGATAAAAAAATCTACGAAACCTTTATAGGTTCTTACCGTGTACCCAGGATAAGAACCTTTTCCTGCGAAACCCTTTCTTAAGTTCCGTACAGCAGAAAAAGGTTTCGTAGGAAAATACGAAACCTTCAGAGTTTCATATTAAACCCTAATAGTTTCGTACTAAACCCTAATAGTTTCATACTAAAGTCTCATGATTTCCTCGAGCTTAATACGAAACTCTAAAGGTTTCGTATTTTCTTACGAAAGCTTTTTCTGCTGTATGAAACTTAAAAAAAGGTTTCGCAGGAAAAGGTTCTTATCCTGGGTACACGGTAAGAACCTATAAAGGTTTCGTAGATTTTTTTATCCTCTTTTCGAGACTTTGGACACCTTTGGACGCTTTTAGAAATCTCTGGGACCTTTTTCAGGGGTTCGGTAAAAAACCGATTTTTTTTAGAGTGTAGTCAACTAATGAGTTTTCAACCAACGAATTCAATACAAACAAGTTTAAAACAAATAATAAAACTTGACAGAGCCTACATGAGGATAATCATTATTATCAAGAATATTAACGTTGATAACAATTATTATAAAAACATGCATAGCCCTATGGAACTTTTATGATGTTCTAGCATCAGAGCCGTGACGGATATGATCACTACCTACAAGCATTCGCTGTTTTCTCCTGAGGAAACGGCTAAATCCTGAAAAACATGCGTAGGTACAGAATTGTAGAATGCTGTCTGTAATTGAATGATTTCAAATTAGAAAAAAGTTCTAGTCATCCCTTTCAGGATTTGACCAGGTTTCCTCGAAGATATTACGAGTTTCTTGGCAGGATCTTTTCAAGATTTTCTAAACAGAACCAACGAAAATTGAACGCATGGCATATCGATCTCAAGACTTCAGTTTACATACTAATCAGCTGCATAAGCCGTGTCATTCTATATCATTGTCACCATGTAATATCTTAATTTCTCACTTTAGTGCAAGCTTCTCTTTAAATTCGAGACTGCTGGGGAGGTTTTAAAACTTCCATCGGGATATATCTCTGCTTTAGAAATAGTGGGTAGGCGACTTTGAGCTACCAGTAGCCACCAGTCGATAAGACGTTGAATTTCCTATTTTTATTACCATAAACAACAACTAACTATTAAACAGTTAAAGAGGTACAGGATAAAAGTGACTGCATTATGTTAAGCAGGTATATATGAGCCAGGAATAAAATTAATAGGTGATTTTACAATGATATATTCCGGACTTCCGAAAGTTAATAAGACAAGATCAGCACGTGGTGTAGCGATTTGTTTAAACAAGCCAACAACGAATATTTGGAAGTCATCAGGTTCAGAACGAGAAGCAGTTAATGAAAGAATTATTAAGATTCAAATGTATTGTGCGCCAATAAATGTGACTTCTATTGCTGTTTATGCTCCAATTAATCGATAGAACACATCTATGATGGATAAATGTGATCAATTTTAGTTACAATTACAAGAGAGGACTGATAAGGTGCCAAAAGGTGATATGATTATTTTAATGAGAGATTTTAATGCTCATGTTGGTAAACAAGAACATTTAACTATACCCCAGATGGTCAGGTCCCCTTGCAGCTGATCTTAAAAATGAAAATGGCATTAGACTTGCCGATTTTTGTTTAGCAAATGGTATAGTTATTTCAAACACTTTTTTTCAACATAAGACAATGCATTAGTGAACAAGAAATTTAAAATGAAGTATTGATGAAGAGCAGCTGGAAGTATTGGAACTGATCATCATCTTATGCGATCTAAAATTAATTTGTATTTGAAATTAAGAAGAAGAAAGTTCCAACAAAATCAGTCACATTTAGATCATTTCAACTTACAAGATGAAAACATAGTTAATCACTTTTAAAATGATATTGAAGGAGCTTTTAAAGATAAAAAAGATGATGATAATGATGCTAATATTAATTAAAAAAGCTTCACTTTTGCATAATGTATTAAGGAAGCTGCACAAATGCATTTTAAAATAAACAACAACATCAACAACAATAGAAAAGAATGGATGACTGATGATATATTGAAGATAGTAGAGAAGAAATCATCTGTTTATTTAATATGGCAAAATTACCTAGGTACGTCGAAAAAGAAGAAATATAAAGACGAATACATAATTTATAGAAGATCAGTTAAATCAATGGTAAATGAAAGTCAAATTGCATACTGAGATGAATTAACGAAAGGAATTGAAACAGCTATCCTTAACCATGATCCAACATCTGCTTATGCAATGATTAGAAGCTTGAAAGATGGACAACAAAATTCAGAGAATAGTGCTGTTCAAGATAAAAATGGTAAATTACTTATCAGTTCTAGGGATAAATTGGACAGACGGAAAGAATGCTTCTATGAGTTATTAAATGTTAAATCGATCATTGATTCAAATGTTAGTTACCACATCTCGACACTCTCAATACCAACAACAAAACGAGATAGACAGGATAAACCATTGACACTAGAAGAACTTGATCAAGCATTAAAACGAATGAAGAGTCGAAAAGGTCGTGATAATGACGATATTAGTGCTGACAAATTCAAAGTAGGTGAATTATCTTGACATGTCTCTATTAGTAGTAGCAAGTACATTATTTACTGGAGTAATTCTTCATCGTCTTCAAAAATTAATTGATAAATAATTATTAGAACGACAAGCAGGTTTTATATCCAACAGTCCAACTATCGATCAAATACTTATAGTTAAAATGATTATAGAAAAATTAAGAAAATATAATAAACCATTGTTTATGTGTTTTATAGATATTCAAAAAGCTTATGATTCAATTAAAAAAGAATTATTATGGAAAATTTGTCAACATTATGGTTTAACAAAAAAAATCGTTCGGTTACTTAAGTTAATATATAAAAATACAAGAGGAAAGGTAGGAATGAATGGTGTGTTTTCCGAAACTTTTGTTATTGAAACTGGTGTTATGCAAGGGAGAACTCCTTCATCTATTTTATTATATATCCTATTCGATTTCATTATCAGGCAGGTGTTAGAAGAAGCACCACGGAAAAGTATTAAATGAGCCTATGGTAGCAATAATTTTTTATCATGATAATCGAGAAAAGTACGAAAAATTTAACATTCTAACATTAGTATATGCGAATGACCTGCTCGCAATGCGTAATAACATAAATGATCTTCAAATGTTTATTGATGTCTTTGAAAAAGTAACACAAAAAGATGGCTTAATAATGAATGTGAAGAAGACATGTATAATGCTCTTATAACATTTTAAACAAGATATAAATGGAAAAATTTTAAAAGAATCGAGCAACCAATCAACCTGATATTGGTTTTACAATTAGAAACCAAAAATTGAAATAACAGACTCGTTTTGTTATTTAGGGTGTGTACTTTCTATAAATAAACGATCTGATAAGAAAATAGAATCTATAGTCAGAGGCAAAAGTTTAAGCGATCTGCATTTGTCCTTTCTCTTGTTCTGAGTCTATCGAAGTCCAAGTAAGTCGAACCCATTTCGTTCACCTATCATCTTGTGCAGTTTTCGAC